TGGCAAAGAATATTGAATATATACCATGGACTGTCAGAGAGCAAACAAATCTGTCTTACAAGTACAGCTAGAATGTTCCACGGAAGCAAGAATGGCGAGACTTCATTTTACATACTATTGATGTATTTATCAGGAAGGACCAGTCCCTAGAGAAGGACACCAAGTTTGGACAGTAAAAAAGAGAAGACTCTCAAGAAGACTGACTAACACAGTGGTGTAATAACTGGCTCAAAAATGGCAACAGTTCTGAGGATAGAACAGGAGCAGGCAGTGTTTTGTTCTGTTGTACACAGGGCCATTATGAGTCATAACCAACTCAATGGCATGTAACAGCAACAGCAGAATCTGAATGAGGGATACAGAGGACCTCTCTGTACTATCTTTACAAACCTCTGTGAGCCTATTATTATTTCAAAATAAAAAGTTAGAAGAAAAATTGCTTCATATATACAATTTCATGCTCCACTTCAAAGAAACCAAAAACAGAAACTGGGCAAGATTCATCTTAGTACTTGAGTACTGCTTTTGTAGTATGTAGAGGAGGATAAATCTCATGCTTGGACCCCTACTCCTTATATAATATATTATATACCCTTAGCCTTATATAAAGATTGGTATTAAAAAGAAAAAATGTATATACGTCTTAAGAATAATAGATTTTTAAGGTATCATGGGCTTTTTTTATAGTTCTTCTTAACTGTGGAGCTCTGGTGGCATAGTAGATAAGGTACTTAGCTGCTGACCAGAAGGTCAGTGGTTCAAACCTACCAGCTACTCCATGGAAGGAAGACTTGGGCAATCTACTTCTGTAAAAATTTACAGCCTTAGAAACCCAACAGGTGTCGCCCTGGGTCGGAATCGATGGCAATGAATTTGGGTTTTTTTTTTTTTGATTGGTAGTGTAGTGGTTAAGGCATTTGGCTCATAGTCAAAAGGTCAATGGTTCAAATCTACCAACCACTCTGTGGAAGAAAGATAAGGCAATCTGTTTCCTTAAAGATTTACAGCATGGAAACCCAATGGAGGTCGCTCACTATGAGTCAGAATCAGATGGCAATGAGTTCGGTTTGGTTTTTGGTTTTTCTTAACTGACTTTTTGGTTCACTGAAAAACTACCAATCACAATAGACAGAAGGACTTTTACTGTAAAAATAAAAATGATCATTTTGGTAATGATAAAGATAGACTCTACATATCATCTCTTCCAAAGAGGGGAGGAAAACATGGCAATTCAAGTGACTCTTCACAATCATCAGAGAAAAGAGTTAGAAGAATTAAAGAACATTATGTATGTAAATAGTTCTGGCAATGCAATGGAGAAGGCATATGGCAACCAACTAAGAGGTCAGTGGTTCGAACCCATCAGCCACTCCACAGGAGAAAGATGAGGTAGTATGCTTCCACAGAAATGCACAGTCTTGAAAACTCTACACAGGTCACTGAGTCAGAATCAACTTGATGGCAATAAGTTTATTTTGATATATATGTAAAAAACAAATGTCTGGCACTTATGGACACTCTATTGGAGGGAGGTGATAGCAGCATTCAAAGTCTGATACAGCTGAAAGTCTGCTGTTGTTGTTATTGCTGTCAAGTCGTCTCCGACTCATAGCGACCCCCCTTGGGTTTTCGAGGAAGTATCACTATAGAAGTAAATTGCCCATTCCTTCCAAGGATTGGCTGGTGGGTTTGAACCACCAACCTTCTGGTTAGCGGTTAAGTGCCTTAGGCACTACGCCTAGGATCAAAAAAACCTAGGATCTGTGTAGCTTACATCCATTGTGTCTGGTCCCCAAAAGTTTTTCCTTTCTAAAGTCACTAAAAATTTCAAAAGAATTATATAAACAAAAATAGCTATAGAATATACATTTGCTAAATTTTGTGGCTAAGAAACATTTTTCTATGCAACAAGTGTCAATTCTCTTCCCACTAACTATAAGAGATAAGTGCTTTCCACTCAAAGTAGAAGAGACATCTTCAGCAAGATAGGGATAAAAAATCTGCCAGCACAAGGTTTCCATCCACAATGAACGGAGGGGCAACATCCTGAAGAGTGAAACTATGTCGAAGTAATTCCTTAGGGTAAAACTATAATTAATTTCTCACATTTAGTAAGTAATGCTGGAGAAATTATATGAAACCAAAGTCAGCAATCATTCTTTGCATGCTATTAAATAGCTCCAATACACATTTTTCCTTTGGGGCAATATTCAAAACCTACGTCTTCCTGTAAAAAGTTAAATTGGCAAAAGTTGTATGACTGATGTATTTACAACAATGATTTAAAAAAAAAAAAGAGTAGCTACTGAGGCTGCTACAATAAAACCAAACACCTCATGGGATTTAGTTCCTTGGTTTGGAGGTTTAGGGTCATAGCTTTACCAGACATCCCAATTAACTGGCCTAATAATGTGTTTAATTCTTCTGTTTTATCTCCTAGTTCACTGAATAATGCCTAGGGTCTTAAAAACTTGCAAGCAGCCATCCAAAGTCCAGTAATTGGTTTCTTATTGCCTGAAGCATCAGAGAGAGGAAGAGAGTCAAGAAAAGGAGGAAGAAATGGTAGGTGTGTTTAACTGCCTTCATGAACTGCCTTTTGCCATGAGATCAGAAGAACTGGATGGTGCCTGTCTACCATTATTGAACGTTTTGATTAGATCCTACAGAAGAATCCTGATCAAAGTGGGGAAATATAGAACAGAATTTCAAATTCTCAGGAATCTAGATTTTCTGGAGCCATGGAATCTGGATAAACCCCTGAACTTACCACTCTGAGATAAACTTTAAACCTTAAACCAAAAATATCCTTTGACATCATCTTAAAACCAATCAACAGTTTAGTTTTGGTAAAGAACGTCTGCCTTGAAGATTGTATTATTTTAGGATTTATCTACATGGAATCAAATTGACAACAGCAACTCAGTAGATTGGACAGAAAACTTAGGGGCCGTGAGTTTATGTTAATGGCGAGGAACAACTCGGCAAAGGAGGGTGAGAATAATTATACAACTTGAAGAGTGTAATCTGTCAGTGAATTGTGCACACAGAAATTGAATTGGTCTATGTCTTGCTGTGTATATTCTTAACAACCCCAACAAGAACAAATTATATTTATTTTAAAAAAAAAAAAAAACTAGGTCTCTTTATCCCAAGGGTATTAGAAGACTTTCTGAAGAATATTTCAAACATATAAAAAAGGGCCAAGTACTATATTAAAATAAATATATCAAAACTGAAATGACAAGCATTCTAAGGTGTATACCATCCTTCTCTTTATGTACATTTGCCTGATTCACTGTAGGCCCTCAACTAAGCTCTGAACTAATTTTAGATTAAGGTGCTAAAACTCTTATTTAGAAGTTATTCAATGATACTTACTTTAAAAAAAAACTTCATTAGGTAGCTCTTTAATTCAACACATTTCTCAAAGCACTTAAATACTAATATAAAAGCAATTCTTAAAACTAGTTTACCTGAATATCAAGATTACAGAAATGAGAAATTACTCATCTCTCATCTCCCTCAACCAGCTTTAAAAAAAAAAGACAGTAATTTCTAAATAAAAGAAACATTTAAACATTAGCAAGCCAAAACAGTGACTATTCTACCAATTCTAGAACTGATTCTTTATGCTCTGTTTTACCTAACATGACACCATTAATAACAATCCCATTATCCACTACATGGTTCTAAATAGTTGGCTCTCATATAAGCCAATACTCAACACTTGTTTAAAAGAAAATAGTTGTTGTTGTTGTTATGTGCTGTCGAGTCGGACACGATCACAGCGACCCCTCTTTGGGTTTCCGAGTCGGTATCACTATAGAAGTAGATTGCCCAACCTTCCTTCCGAGGAGTGGCTGGTGGGTTTGAACTGCCAGCCTTCTGGTTAGCAGTCAAGTGCCTTAGGCACTATGCTACCAGAGCTCCTAAAAGAAAATTAGAGAGGCAATAATGCTTTACTACTAGTATCTTTTACGACTTCCTTACATATTATATGGCTGCTGATACACAATCACTTAGTATGAAAAATATTATAAAAGATAGACGATTTTAGTGGATTGTTGAATGGAAAACCAACTTGCTCTGTAAACATTCTGCCACCAAAACGAAACCCAACTCAGTGCCGTCCAGTCGCATCAGACTCATAGCCACCCCTCCTTGGGTTTCTGAGGCAGTATCTCTATGGAAATAGATTGCTCAGTCTTCCTTCCAAGGAGTGGCTGGTGGGTTTGAACTGCCAACCTTCTGACTAGCAGTCAAATATCTTAGGCACTATACCACCAAATCACAAAAAAATAATTTTAAAAAGAAAAAAAAAAAAGGTAGATTACTCCAAAAACACTACAAAATATTTCAGATACCTCTTTTTTCTGGTTACACAGAATTCCAAAAGTAGCTTTTAAACCATTTTCAAGCAAAACTACCTTGGGAGTAAAGAATAATTCACAGAAACATTACCGCTGCTATTTATTGATAATTTCTGGATAAGGCTGTAATTAGCTTATTAAATCAAAACATTAGAGTCTAAAACCAACATTCTTGAGAAACAAAATCCAAGGATCCCATAAAATGAGTGTCTGGAAAACATAATAAATTACTGCATATCACTTAATTTTTCCCCTCGTAGTTGTCTAACCATCTCAAAAACTATCACTAGACAGTCATCAAGATATGCTTAAGACATATCTAGACATCTTTAAAAGTACTACTGTTTCATAAAGAAAATTTTTTTCAAAACTAGAGCTCAATGTCCTAACACAAGTAACTATCATTAAAATGTAGCCACACACATTCTACAAAGTCAACCATAAAAACGGATAAAACGCTGATTTTATGTTATAGGAAATGAACCTGTTTCTCTAATACGGCAAGATCCAATTTATACGCCATTACATATGCTAAAGAAAGCTTTAACCAGAACTTTAAATATGGAAGCAGGTAGATAGATACACACACACACACACACACACACACACAAAAGGATGTCAAAATCCCACCTGTATATCTGTTTTTAACCATTTGGAGTCAAGTCGAGATTGGGCAACCAAACAAAAAGAATCAGAGGGCATCTTTCTTCCAGTTTCTTCCCAGCTGTCAGACCTGCAAGTAAAACAGAAGTGTTGAAGATACAAATCTTTTCATAATTTTCAAAAGACCCTCCCACGAATTCTCCTGCAGTTTAAAAAAAAAAAAAAAAAAAAACGGAAGGACCGAAAGGAGGAGGAGGAAAAAGAAAGATTCAGTATGGGTAAGAGCTACACATAGTATTTGCCTAATTTTACCAGGTTGGCGAGGCCTTGAAAATCGACGGTCACAGAAAATAAATGACAATGCTATCATCCCCTTCCCTTAAACCCAAAAGGTACACGCATAGACGACAGGAAGCCCCTTATTTCAACAACAAATGGCACCATCATGCATCTGCCGCTTTAACCCAAACCAGTGAGGAGTGTATGAAACGAATCAACCAAAATTCTCATCAGCCCAAAGGAAAAAAAAACTCAAAACAATTATCCAGAAACCGAAAGACGGACGGAGACGCGGGCGGCGGGCGGTCCGCGCAGGCCCAGGTCCCGCCGCCTCACCAACGCCCGCCAGCCCCGGCCGGCCGGCCGCCTGCCCCCGTCCTCCGCATCTGCCGCCCACCGACGCAGGTATTGAGTACCTGATGCGCCGCGTCCCTCCACCTCGCCCCTGGTGCATGCAGACGCAGTTTCTAACCCACCTCTGGCTGTGGCCGGCGTCTGCAATCCCGGCGCCGCTCGCGGCAAAGACAAGTCGACGCAAGACTGCTGACCCCGCCACCCAGCCAATCACAGAGAGGCGGCTCCGCGGCCACAGCCAACGGCAAAGAGGAGACCCCCTCCCCCTCCCACTTGACTCTCTTAATTCCTTTCGATCCTGCTCTTCTTCCTACTTGGAGCGCAATCTTTTTGGTCTGGCCAACCACGGGAGCCAGGAGGCGGGATTTCTTCCATGGCACGCACACACGCAGAAACAAGTACGCGCGCACGCACACCAAGGACTTCAGTAAACCTCCGAGCGCTCTTGAAAAGCATCGTGGGCGGAGAAATCTATGCAGATGGAGGCGCGGGGGCGAAACTGTGTGGTCAGCGGGACAGGCGTTTTGGGGCGGGGGAGGACGAAATGAGTGAGAGCGAAAGAGACCGTTGGGACCTCTGCCCCAATCGCTGTGAGGAAACTATTTTAGTACTAGGAAAGTGAGAATGGGAGCTCTGGTAGCGTAGTGCTTAAGTCACTTGACTGCTAACCGGAAGGCTGGCGATTCAAACCCACCAGCCACTCCTCTGAAGGAAGATGGGGCAGTCTACTTCCGTAGTGCCTCGGAAACCCGAGGAGGGGTCGCTATGAGTTGGGTCAAACTCGATGGCACGTAACAACAACAACAAAAGTGAGAAAACCAAACTCACTGACATCGAGTCGTTTCTGAATCATGGCGACCCCCAATTGAGTTTCGGAGGCGGTGAATCGTTATGGAAATAGATCGCCCTGAACGGCTGGTTAGTTTGGACTGCTAAGCCGTCAAGTACTACGCCACCAGAGCTCCACTAAAGTGAGAGACCTATAAAAACTTCTTAAGTGTCTTGCAGACTCTATAAAAACCCGGACCCGCTGCCAAGTAACTCCTGGGAAACGAGACTCCTGTACTAAGTACGGCCATTCGAAGAGAATCGAGTTCCGAAGAGCAGCAGGACGGCCGGTCGGGGTTCGGACTGAACACCCACGGGAACCCAAGCCCGGGTTTTGGAGAAAATAAGGCCTCACTGGACTTCATAGACCCCACTCCCATCCAGATGATTTCAACTCACAGAGAAGAACTGCCCCATAGAGTTTCCAAGGACCAAAAAACGGCTTAATGTGATTATTATCGAGATTCTGACATTTCCACTATCTTTTTCATTAAATTGAAAAAAACGGGCGGGGGGGGGGCGGAAATAAATCTGTGAACGTATGGTGTGCTTAGTAGGTTCTTGGTTTGCAGAAATAGACATTTTGGAACCGGAAAGGTTGAGTTTCTAAACACCCTCCCTTTTTGCTTAACCGGTGTGTCAGCTTGCACTTCAACAGTGTGTGTTGCAGGAATCAGGAAGACAGGAGGCCGAGAAAAAGACATAAATTAGTTGTAGCCAGTTTTATCCCGAATCATGCACAATAAAGAATAGCTGTGACCCTTGCATGACCCGCCCAGAACATAGGTGCTGCCAGAAGACGAGAAAGAGCTAAAGTCCAGAAGAAATCCCCATCTTACTATAAGAATGCATTAAATTTCCCAGAAAATTATTGAATATGTATAATTTACTTATTTTTGAAGGATATAAACTATGACAAGCTTTAGCTCAGGGAGTCATATTTGGATGAGTGCCCCTGGCTCCTCAATGTGCTCTACCCCAATAAGTTACCTTTCTTTCATGCAAACTCTGGTGCCAAGGAGGTTGACTCATTTGCATATAGTGTAGGAACTCTCCTTGTCCTATATCAATTTCTGCAAACTTAAGTATTTCCCTAGAATAATTTGTTAATGCTGGTTATTTCTTCAAACTGTTTCACTAATCCATAGTCTATATACCCATTTTTCTTTACATCCTTCTATACATAAAACTTTATTGTCATTTACATCATGCTTTCCTTTCTAATGTGGTTTTTTGCCATCTTTGGTTTCTTACATGAATTCTTTGCAAATAACATAGCTGAAAAATTACTAGATGTTTTTCATGAAAAAAATCTAGGTTCAAATTCCAACTATGATACTACAGCTAAACACCCTACACCTTATATGACATGTCATTTAGACTCAGGTTCAGTATCATCTACAAAATAGAAGTATATTACTGTTAATAGCTGTAATACAAAATTGTGGTCAAACTAAAAACAAAGCTGGGAAGAAGTCTAAGAGCTCTGGTGGTGCAGTAGTTAAGACAGTCATTCTGCTGCTAACCTAAATGTCAGCAGTGTGAACCCCACCAGATGCTCTGTAAGAGAAAGATGAAGCAGTCTGCTTCCATAAAGATTTACAGCCTTGGAAACAAGCATTAGTCAGAATGACCAATCATATGTTATACAAATATACTAAGTACTAAAGGAGCTCTGGTAGCGAAATGCCTAAAGCACTTGACTGCTAACAAGAAGGCTGGCGGTTCAAAGCCACCAGCCACTCCTTGGAAGGAAGTTTGGATCATCTACTTCAGTAGTAATACCACCTCAGAAACCCAAGGAGGGTTCGCTATGACTCTGGTCAGACTTGATGGCAAATAACAACAACAGTTAGTTCTTAAAAGACCATAATGCTCAAGGTGTTTTTTACTACTAGTTAAGCTCTGGTAGCATAGTGCCTAAGGCACTTGACTGCTAACCAGAAGACTGGGGGTTCAGACCCACCAGCCACTCCTTGGAAGGAAGGTTGGGCAATCTACTTCTATAGGATACTGCCTCGGAAACCCAAGGAAGGGTCTACTATGAGTCGGGGCCAACTCAACGACACATAACAACACTAAGTACTATCTCAGGGAGCTCAGTTGGTGTAGTGCCTAAGACATTTGACTGATATCCGGAAGACTGGCAGTTCAAACCCACCAGCCACTCCCTGGAAGGAAGATTGGGCAATCTACTTCTGTAGAGATACCACCTCAGAAACCCAAGGAGGGATTACTATTAAGAAAAATAATGCAAGCAAGGTGCATGAGGAGTTGGAGGGGAGTGGTATAGGTGGGTTGTAATTTTAAAAGTGGAATCATGAAGGCTTCACTTCCTTGACATCAGAGGAAAGACTTGAACACAGAAGCCACCTAGGTATCTGGGAGAAGAGCATTCTAGGTGGGAGGAAGGCAGCAGTAGCATGGTGGAGTGAGTCAACTCAATGACAGTGAATTTAGTTGTTTTTTTTTTTTTTTTTTAATCCTCAAGTATAACTATGTATTAAAGGATAAATTTTATTATATAAAGTTAA